CTAAAGATAAGGGTATGGTACAGACTGCCAGTGCAATTCACGTCTTCCCAGAATCTTTTCCTTTGGGAACCTTAAGTGAGGTTGGCCTTTCCCACTTTCCCTCTTGAAGAGGGAAGTGAGAAGGGCCTGAAATGACTCAAAGCTTCAGGAGTCCCTGAGGGAAACTCTCACTTGAATAGTCCCAAAAAGGGCTTGGAGAAGCTTGGAGCTCACTCACCACTTGCCAACTTCCTCAAGCATGGTAAGACCTTCCTCGCCACCAATTGGCTTTGGGATAGGGATTATACTAATTTTCAGGGAGTTGTTGTTTGGGTAAGGTCTTGTTAATTCTCTCTTTCAATTCTTTCTTCTGTAACTCATTTATTTTCCAACTTTTTTCTTTCAGCATTTTCATTTAATTTGAAAAACAAAAAAACAAAAAAACCCCAATAACAAGTTAAACTTTTTTTTTAAACTCTTGTGTCATCTCTTTCAGAAAACCTAGTTGAGTTTGTGCCCAAGCTGCGTTTTTCTTTGAGACTTACTTTGCAGATATTTTGGAGTCATTCTCTTCTTCTAGGTTTGTGTTTTAAGTATCTCTGTCAACATGATAGCTTTTTACAGTGGGATTCTTTTCTTCTTTGCTCATTCTTCCATCTTCCATCTTGATTTACAACTTTATGTTAGGTCTAGCCTCTGCACACTTTTGAAGAAAATGTCTAGGCTTGTGTTCGGTGGCTTCTTTCTTGGGGCTTTGAGTGTTGTGTTATTCCAAACACTCAGGGATGGTTCAGGCTAGGCACCTTCAGGATTTCAGTGTTCCCAAAGTGGTCTAGTCTAGGGAAAAGTCTGTTTGCTTCTTCCTTGTTCTAAGCTCTACAAGTTCCTGACCTTGGTTTGTGTCTAAGTGATAGGCCTATGGGCTTGCTCCATTTGGAGTTTCAGTAGACTATCAGACAGCTGGAAAGTTCTTCTGGTCCATATTGACAGAACTACAGGCTTTGCTGTGATCTGGAATTTCTACCCTGATTATTTCCCTTTAGACTTCAGACTTGGCTGGAAGCAGCAAGCAAGACCTTGCTCTGCTCCTGAGATTTAAGCCACACAGCTGTTGCTTGCTTCTGAACTTGCTCAGTGATCTAAGACCAGCAAAGCTCTTCATCTTGGATTGCACCTCCAAGGTGCAGGTTCTCTCCTCAGTCCACTCTGGCTGGATCAATTACCCAGAGCCACCAAGCTGCCAGTTGGCACCTGTTCCTGCACTTTACACAAGTTTCAGCCCCTCTATGCTGAATCTTGGACCTCTTCTCCTCCTGGCCAGAATTCAATTCTACTGTCCTCTATGCAGATCTGGGCTGGAAGAAAAATGAGTCACTGGGATTCTTTCTTGGATTTCTTGATCAAGATTAAGTCTGGTGCTTCCTCTCAGTCTGTCTGGAGTTTTGGTGTACTTCCTGATACTCTGTCATCTTTGCTCTGCCTTCTTTTGTGCTCTTTCTCCCTTCTCCTTTCAGAGTATGACCCCTCAATCATTCCCTCCTTCATTTACCGTCTTGCCTTATCTACTGACAAACACATACCTAAGGAGCCACAATCCTTAAAAAAACAAAACAAAAAACAAGACCCTTCACTTTACCCTGCCATCCCCTCAAACAATCAAGTCACACTGAATCCCATTTGCTGATTCCATTTCCTCTCTTTCCATTCACTTCTCAATCACTTACAATCTGGCTTTTGACTCCACCACTCAATTGAAACTACTTTCTCCAAAGTCATCAATTATCACTTAAATGCTAAATCTAATGATCTTTTCTTAGTCTTCATTCTACTTGATATCTTCGTAGTTTTTTGACAATGTCCACCACTCCTTCCTCCTGGGCGCTTTCTCTTCTCCCTTGGCTTTTGTAACCCTGTTCTCTTATTCTGCCACCTGTCTGACAGCTTCCTTTGAGTCTCCTTTGCATCTTCCACTCAATAATTCAATTCAAAAAGCATTTATTAAGTACCTACTATGTGTTAGGCATTAGGGATACAAAGACAGAAATAAAAAGGGTCCCTACCCGTAAGGAGCTTATACAGTCTACTGAGGTGGGAATCAAAATGTACATGGGTAAAAAAATACAAAATAAAAAATAAATACAAAGTAATTCTGGGGGTGGAGGGTGCTAATAACTGAAAAGGATTAGAAAGAGCCTTGTGTAGGAAATGGCACTTGAGTTGAATATGGAATGGAAATAAACATTTCAAGAGGCATATAAGAAGAACATTCTAGGAAAGTGAAACAGAGCCTATGCAAAGGCATAGAGGCAGGAGAATGAATCTTGTGCATAGGGAATAACTGCAAGTAGGCCAGTCTGGCTAAAATGTAGAGTGCAGGAGAGGGAAGAATGTAAAACAAGTGGGAAATGCAAGTCTGAGCTAGATCTTGAAAGACTTTTAAATTCAAGATGAGTTTGTACTTTAACCTAGAAACAACAGAAAGCCACTAATGTGTCTCCAGCAGGGGAGTGACATGGTTAGACTCGTGCTTTAGGAATATCAATTTGCCCCTGCCCAATCCCACCTTGCCCAGGCTCAGATCCTCTCGTACCAGGTACCAGAGGGCAAATCTAACCAAGCTGATGCAGGAGTCCTTCTGGTGTCTGGCCTGCCTCCAATTCAAGACCTTCCCTTCCAATGTTCATGGACTTGGGGCCCTCTGCGCCCCAGGATAGGGAGTGGACAAAACTGCTGACAACCACTGGATAAGCAGGGAGTCACCAACTATAATCATCTCAGTAATGGAGGACCACTAGATCATTGGACCTTATCATCTATCCTGATCCTGTGTCCTCCAAATCTCAAGACACTGCAATCTTGTCTGCTGCTCTATCTTGATCCTCCGGCCTTGCCATATACTCTTCCAGCATATCCCCCTATGCCTTGTCTCTCTCATTTATAATGTGAGCTCACATTAAACACATAAGCTTTGTATTCCCTAAGCTAAGCACAGTGATTGATACATACTAAATGTGTTTCCATTTTGTGGTAAAGCAGAGACATTAGACCAAGAGACTAATTAGGAAAAGAAAGGTGATGAAGGCCTGAACTCGTGTGCTGATCATGTGAGTGGATGACAGGGATGGATATGAGAAGTGTGGAGGGTAGACTAGATAAAACTTGACCAATGATTGAATACAGGGGTTGAGTGAAATGGAAGAGTCAAAAGATGACTCTGAGGTTACAAACCTAGATGAGTGGATAGTCACGCCCTTGACAAAAATTAGAACAGTTAGGAAGAAATTAGGAAGTTTTGAGGGAAAGACCACCAGTTATTTTGGACATGTTGAGTTTGAGATGCCTATGATTTGTCCAGGTGAACATCCCAGGAGACACAGTTGGTGATTTGGGCCTAGAGTCCAAGAGAGAGATGAGGGCTGCTTATGCAGATCTTCAAAGACATGAGTGAACCCATGGGAAATGGTGAGATCACCAAGAAAGAAAGCAACAGAGGAAGAAAATTAAAGGACCTAGGATAGAGTGCTGGCATATATTTGTGTATTATAGTGGCATATGTTTGATGATCTAGCAAAGGAAAGAACAGTCAGACATGTAGGAGGAGAACCAGGAGAGAATGATGTCATGAAAACTGAGGAAGGAAGAATAAACGGAAGGATAAGGTGGTTAATAGCACCGAATACTACAGAGATGTTAAAAAAAAAACAGGGGACTATAAAAAAGTCATTGAATTTAGCAATTAAGAGATCATTAGGAATCTTGGTGAGAACAGTTTATATTTACTGATGGGTTTGGAAGCTAGACTGCGCAGAACTGTGATATCTCAAATAACATAAGAGTCCTGTGCTTTTAAGTAAAACACTTTCGTCCTGAAGTTTTTCTGTATGACAACCAAGGAGGCTAAACCTTGTACCACACTAGACTTTTACATCCATTCTATGCTAGATTTCTCTGCACAAAAAAATTTTCTATGCAAAAGAGAAACCTGAGAGTTTAACTATCCAAAAATCCAAAGATTTTCTTTTCCAAATCCAGTGGATCTGGAACACTGACATAAGGCTTAAGAAACCTAACTGAAGAACCACAAGACCCTCCTGGTTGTAACTCGTCAGAAGATTTCTTAATAAACATGCAATGGAACATGCTAATAGTAGGAGTATAGGAGAAAAGACAATCCTCCACTGCTCTGCAACTCTGCCTTCTTAAGGCCTCTTCCTCCAGGATTCAGGAAAGTTCTTGACATTACATATTCTTCTGGCAAAACAGGAAATTTCCCAATTAAGAAACTTAGATTTCTGGATTGGAAAAGACATAATCACATTCCAAAATAATGCAAAAATGAATATTCCCAGAAAATATTCTCTATTCAAAATGCAAAATCATCTTCCCCAAATTAGAAATGCTCTATAAGTCAGCAGAAGGTACTCCCCTTACCAATTCTCTACTTTACTATTTCAAGTAACTGCAGAGAACCTGTTGTGTGGGATGAAGAAAGCTAATTTATTGCCATATTATAATAAATCATGACATGCTGTACCTAAGGAATAGGAAGGTTCTATTGGAATAAGTCCAAATTGGGTTCTCATGGCGACTCAGTCAAACCCCTCTGCATTCACCCTCATTCTAAACCTTACTTTCTTCATCTATAAAATGAAGAATTCTACAAGGATGTTGTGAGGATTAGGAAGATAAATGTATCATCCAAGAGGTACTCACTATGCAAAGAAAATTTCGGGATTGCATTCATCTGATAATAAACCACTCTATAAACTCATTCTTCTTTATGACATATTAAAAAGGTGCAAAAGGGCAAGTATTATAAAGTAGAACACTAAGAAAACCAAGAAAGAAACGATTTGTCCAATGTCCCACTGAAGGGCAGTGGTGAAAAGAAGTGAATGAAGGTGACTAGAACACCTCTAAGGAACTTGAGTAATTGACCAAGAAATCTAGATTTCTAGACCAGGACAAATCAAGCCTCCTTTCTTCCTTATTAAATATTGCCACTTAAAAGAAGTTCTTACCAATCCCACTGAGGGCATGATTGAGTTCCAGAGTAAACGTAACGAGGGGCACATCTTCTGATACTGGCAGAATAGCCACGGTTGAAAGGTTGCTGGATGGATTCCCAGAATCCCACTTGTTGCCTGAGTAATACAGTCCAAGCTGGTGACCTGAAAAACATCAGAGAGAAGGCATCAGGCCTGAAACCCTAACCCTCTAGTATTGCTACATCACCCTCTCTGAGGGAGACAGGAAAAAAAGGCAGGCTTTGTCTAAAAGGAGCTTATTAGAAACACTACTATGATATACAATAAAATGGCACACATATAACATATATACACAAAGTGCCATGTGAGTTCTGGAGAGAGAGAAAGAGAGAGAGAGAGAGAGACAGAGAGAAAGAGAGACAGAGAGAGAGAGACAGAGACAGAGAGAGAGAGAGACAGAGAGAGTTTAATCTGAGAAGAATAAGCAAATGTTTTGTAAAGGATGTTGCACTGGGCCTTTTAGGAAAAGGCTTATTTGGTGAGCATGAACATTTATCCTATTACCTCTCATGTGCTAAGTGAATATGCCACGATTTCATCTAATTTCCCAGCAAAAATAATGGAGAGAAAAGTTCCCTCAGAAATTCTACATTTGTATAGCACTTGCAAAGAACAAAGACTGCTGACTGAAAGCCCTTTCTATTTCACCACCTTCCTTTTCCAATCACTGCATTTTATTTGGTTTTATTTTATATTTGCCAAATACTGTTCACCCTGTGTGGTCCCAAACTTCCCCAACTGAGAAAAGTCTAAGGATCTTCTCTCAGTCTAAACTCTGCCCCCAAGGTTGACCACATCTGACCATGATGCAAGCCATCCTAAAGCAGCACTGCCTGAAATACAAAGTGAAAGGAAGCTTCTAGGTATCTCTTCTGAGAATACTGTAAGGCCACCTCACAAACCACCCAGGGATCAGTTTTCTCCATGTTGCAAGATGGTACTGGAAGCCCCAGTGACTGAAGTGCCCATCGAAGTGGGCCAAGTGCCACAGGTCTGTATTGAGAGAGACAGAATATTTTGCTTAGAAAACAGTTTCATGAATACCTTCATGACACTGGGACTGATCACAACATATCTCTCTCCTGAACTCATATCTTTTTTGCTTCTTGTAGCATTTTCTGTGTTTTCAATGTTCTCATGCCTCAAAAATGTCCTCAGAACCTTCCATTTAATTTCAGTTATTATACTACAGCCAGAGTAAATTTCTGACTTCTGTTGTATGTGTGGTATTTTTTTAAGTAATTTGAGTTGTTCTGCCTTTAGCAGTGGGAGTAGTTTAATGAAATCAAATATGCACTTTCAGACAATGAGCGGTGATGTATTCAGAACATGCACTCAGCTAGCAAATGAGATATGTCATCTTCATGGTGGTGTCTGTGTTGAGATCATTCTTCTACTCACAGAATGTCCTTTAAGCTTCAGACTATACTAGAGAATTAAGTGGATGATTATCAACATCCATCAGAACATGAGGAGGCCAATACAAAACAACAGTCTGAGAACTTGGAACTATTCCAGGCTCCTAATAAACACACCCAAGTGTCTGCCAGCTTCAGGAAATTCACTCTCCACAGTTGAGGTTATAACTGGGATAAAATTAATTAAAAGTCATCTGAATGTGAAATGTTAAAGTAATAGACTCGAATCATTTTGTCACATCTGAATTTTCTTCCCATGACTACCACATGACAGAGACAGTAATTCCTGACAATCCAGTTAAAGATAACACAAAATGCTTTCATCTCTGGCCCTTCTGAGAAGTCTCACCTAAATTTCCCTCTCCTTCCTGAACAGTTTTTGAGGTGGGTAAAGAAGATATTCTATTGACTTTTGCGGGGGGTGGGGGGTGCTGTGCAGAGACTAGATCTGGGCTGGAAATTCAGTGCCCACTCATGGGCCTAATGTCAGTACCGATCAGTACAGAACCTTTTGCCTGTTCCATTATTTCAATCTGGGCCACTCTGTTCCTTCTTGGACAGCCTGATGTTCCACTCTCCGGAGCTCACCATATTAGTGCTGGACTTAGCAAAGAAATCCCACTGATTTTAACTCTACTGCTTTTCAGATTCCAACTCAAGGGATCCTCCAGCCTCAGCCTCCCTCAGCAGTAGGGATTATAGCGATGTGCTACTATGCCTCATTTCTACTGCCTTTTTTTTTTTTGACTAGGCAATGGGCTTAAGTGACTTGCCCAGGGTCACACAGGTAGTAAGTGTTATGTGTCTGAGGCCGATTTGAACTCAGGTACTCCTGAATCCAGGGCCAGTGCTCTATCCACTGCGCCACCTAGCTGCCCCTCTACTGCCTTTTTTAAAAAGTATAAACCAAGGCCCAAAGTCCATTGGTAGGAGACTCTCTTCTTATTGGTAGAGATCAGTGCCACATGCCTATATGAGGGATGGGGCAGAGACTGGGAGATCTACTCTTCAGTCTCCTTGGACTCTTCAGTCTCTTTTGGGCTTTTCTGACTTCCAGCTTTGAGACAGTAGGACAATGCCAACCGCACTTTAGGTTGAAAAGGATTCTGGAAAGAATCTGACATAAACAGGAGATGACAGTTTCCATCATGTCCCTATCCCTAGCTTGCTACACTATAGAATTTGGGGAATTTCCCCTTTGGGTGAGATTTGGGATTCTCTCTCTTGGTAGAGCTAAGTTACTTTGTTCCTAATCAGAGGGCTCCTTCACTCTGGTATATGTTCTTCTATGTATACTTTCTCTCATTTCTGTTTTGCTATCAAATTGGATAAATGGATATCTTTGCTATCTGTTATGTAGAACTTGTAATTGTGGAGAAGAAGTCAAGTCTTGGATATAGCAGACTTTTCTCCTTTCCTCCTTAAGGAATTTTGATCAGGAGTTTAGCTTGAACCCAAAACCTGCATCCCTTAGACTAACAACATGTAAGGGAGCAAACAGACATAGTCCAGTATTCTCCCCTTTCTCTCTGAGAGCAGAGCAGCCTCTGGATCCAACCTTTTGATTTCTTTCCTGGCAGGAATCAAAGTCTCCCTTGGAGAAGGGAAGTGGGGGGGAGGAGACGCTAGAGATGTGTCTATTCTGGCCTCCCTATGATCCAAATGAAGGCACCCCCATGGTACAAGTAAGGGTCAACAAAAGAAACATTGAAGTTTCACTTTACTGCTGACCTTGAAGTCCATGTTTCAGCCAAGTTCTTTTGGTACTTCTGGCAACTGCAATCCCTTAACAAGCTCCATGATGGACTATAATCATAATGAATTCTTGGCTTTGTACATGGTTTCAGTACATTTCATAATGGACAAACAACCTGCTTGATCCCCTGATGGAAGTAGAAATACTTACTGCTTCACAATGAAGGGCCAGCTGAGAATATCTGAGCTCAGAAGGTGTAGGGGGTTTATAATATTGGCAATATTCTTAGGTACACTTACCTGATACAGCTCCCTGCTGAAGATTGCCAAGGATCTTCTTCCCAAGCAAATGGATCAGCCTAGTCACAACCTGGAAAGTAGGAAGAAGGAAAAAGACCAACAAATCAACATCTTACAACAAACATTGGAAAACCCTATGAGGATGCTCAAGAAATGACAGGAAGATTTATGAAGCAAAACTTCCAGCCTACTTTTTCAAACTGCTAAGTTTTATAAGGTTACAAAGTCACATATTCTATAGGCAGCATAATAACCTGAGTGGAAGGCAAAGAAATAAGATTTTTTTCTTTTGAATAGTATACCTGTTATAAATCTTACTAAAACCTGTAATATTCAGGCAAAACAAGGCTAGATGGGAGATAATAGAGGCAGCCAGCAAAACTATTTGGTTTATTTTAATGTAAAAGGGTTTTTTTTAGTATTTAGTTGGGGTGACGGGAGGGAATAAAATTTCAGTAAGATACTGAGTCATTTAGGGCTTTGTTTGTCTCTAAGTATAGCCATAACCCTAGATACCTCAGATACGCACAATGACTAAAACTACTACTTGCAAATTATGTTCCTTCTCCCCTATATTCTGACTCCCCAAAATCATACTAACATTATTCAGGGAGCATAGATGTTGTGTCAGTGTCAAAAGTCATTGCTGGGACTAAAAAGGGTTTGCAGGAGAATGAGTTAAACCACTCAGTGCTAAAAGCAATAGAACCTTTTATTTGGTGCACTGAAGGGAGGGCAGTGGAGCTTAACTGGAGACAGTCAAGGGAACAAGGACAACAAGGGAAAGGTACATACAGCGCAGCCCACTGACCTTCCTCACATTGAGGCAGTAACTGATACCTACAAGCCAGGCAGTCCACCTACACCTCATGTTCTGGGGCTGGGAACGGGATACAGCTATGGATGTTGCCAGGGAGCTTCCAGAATGATGGACGGAAAATCAGTTCATGGTAGGAAAGAGTCTACAATGAACTTTTGAGAGATGTCTCTGAGGATGCGGTAAGCTGCCACTAAGACTCCTGGGTAGATGCTTCAGGGAAGCTCAAGTATTTTATAGGGTGGGTGAAGTCTCACTGAGTTTAATTGATTTCTTGCCTCTGAGATCATAGGTACAGAGACCTCAGTTAACTAGGATTCCAGAGAAAGAACAAGGCAAAGGACATGGGTTCTAGATAGAACAGAGCATGAATATGGAATAGATAAGCCTGATGGATAGAGAAAAACTAGACCCAAAACACATTAGTGTGGATGAAAGTAAGTGTGGTATACTGGAAAGGGCATGGGATAGAAGTTAGCATGCTATTGTTCTAGTTCCAGCTCTGTCACTAATCATGAGACCTAAATTTACCTCTCTGGGTCTTAAGTTTCTCATTATAAAATGACAGTATGTCTGAGGGCCCTTCCAGTTCACTGTCAGTTAAGTTAATCATTTTATTAATGTCTTCCTGGGCTAACAAATTAGTCCTAGACACTCTAAGTGGGATAAATGTAGGAAGGCCTTAGGTTACATAAAAGGAAGAACTTCCTAAAAATGAGGCTATTAGACACTGGAATGGGTAACCATGGGAAGTTCTTTAAAACAAGATAGATCCTAATCTTTGTGAAGAGGCTATGCTATAGTCTTCTGTGTAGGTCAAATGATGAACTAGATAATTTATATGGCCCACTTTAGCTAAAAGATTCTATGCCTCATACATAATCTTTTTGGCCCAATCTGTGCCTGTTCCCTTCAACTTTCATGTGCCAACATGGGTTCGGTGATGCACTGGCATTTGATGCACTAGAAACATAAGCACAGGGGAATATATCAGGAATTTCAGGACGCATGGGTATAGGCACATGACAAAAGCAGCACCAATGGGAACTGGAAAGGAGTCTCCTTTGCACGCAACTGATCTAGAAATACATCAAACTCCAGTTAAATATGTCTAATTTTAAAAACGATCATTTCTACAACTAGTAATCAAAAGTTCAAAATAGCTATGATAAGACACCAGCAGCTGGAATGCTAAGGCGGAATAGCAGCTCAAGAAACCATTGTTTACCAGTTAAACACCAGTTTTCCACTCATCAAATTCCATGTATTAGTTTTGCTAAAGGCAAATGTTAAATAAAAAGGTTAAAGTGAGCCACAAAAGGACAGTTTAAAAGAGTGCTTAAAAATACCTAAAAACCATATGAACTCTCAAGGAGCAAAGTGAATACAGAATATATTCTCAAGCATCAGGTAACAATAGTTACCAGGTGACCAGAACAATGGGCAGTAAGGTGACACAGTGGACAGAACACTGGTCTTGGAACCAGGAACACCCATCTTCCTGAGTTCAAATCCAGTCTCAGACTCTTACCAGCTGTGCAACTCTGGGCAAGTCACTTCATTCTGTTTGCCTCTGTTTCCTCATCTGTAAAATGAAGTGGAGAAGGAAACAGCAAACCACTCTAGTATCCTTGCCAAGAAAACACCAAAAGGGGTCACAGAGAGTCAGACATGACTGAAATGACTCAACAACAATGACCAGAAGAATACGGATCTGGGCACAACAAACTTCTTTGCAACACCTTTAATGCCTTAAAATTTTTACAGCCTTCACCAATTCTCAAAGAATTTTCTACCTAATTTTGTCCTTATGATAGCCTGGGAAATATTTCTGGTGGTATTATTTCTGCTGTTCTGTATTTTTCTAAGAAACAACCAAAAAGAAGCAAATGACTTAGCCAAAGGTCAGTAGCAATCAGATGTTTCCAACAGTCAGGATACTTTCCACTAGACTTCACTACCTCATCTCTCACTCTGGGAAGAGCTAGAATTTTGAAAACAATAAAATTTACTGTTTATAACTATGGGGCTCCAACATTTTCATTTATAATAAATGGAAACAATGATTCTTTTTCTAATTCTGGAATAGCTATATCACTGGCACTGTACCCATTTCCATTAGTAAGATATGCATGGCTAATGTGGCTGATGCCAGTTCAGAACCCTTGAACAAGAACCTTGTTACCTTGAATGCAAGAAACTGCAAACACTGAGAACATAAGTGAAGAGCAGCCCAATTTTGTGCAATACTTTAGCAAATGTAAATCACGTAAATAAGCGTTTTTTACTTTCTGTTCAAGTCAAATAGCTTACTGTTTCTCTACAAGCAAAATCTGATTAATTTAATTGGTAACTGTTCTCACTAACTGAGATTTCTAGTTGATCTATCCAAGTGCTTCTGGCAGTGGACTCTATCCTCTGGAAAACACTGTCAATGGACTAAGATTTGTGGGAAAGGTACAGATACAGCCAATGCAATGATGCAATCTGTATGACTCCTGGGCTTGTGCTGCTCTTCCTGTTTGGAATCCTACTCATCCTTCAAGGTTCAGCTCAAGTCCCACCTCTCTATGAAGATTTTTTCTGATCTTAGCAATCCACAGTGAGTTCTCCCTCCTATGATCCTAAAGCATTTCTTTCCAATCCAGCAAGTATTTGTAAAGCTCTCCTGAGCTAGATGCTGGAGCTACAAAGATAAAACAATAAACCGTTCCTGACTTTCAAGAAGCTTACATTCTATTGGGGGGAGGGGGAGCAGTTACACCATGTAAATAGAAAAGTATATACTGCACGTGGTGGTCTGAGGAAGAGGGAGAAAGCACCAACAACTAAGGGGATCAGGAGATGGCACAAGAGCTCAGGCTTGAAGGAAGCTCAGGATCCAATAGGTAGAAGTAAGGAGCAAGTACATTTCAAGGATGGGGAACAGCCTGTACAAAGGCATGGAGATGGAATATGTAGTGCCAAGTTTATGGAAAGGTAATCAATTAACAATCATTTATTAAGCACACTACGTGCTACTATGTACTAAACACTGTGCTGGCTCTGGGGAGACAAGAACAAAAATCTTGGTACAATGGAAAGAGCTCTGACTGGAGTTAAAGGCCCTGGATTCAGATCCCTCCTTTATGACCTTGGGCAAGTTACTTACCCTCCTGTGGCCCATTTCTTCACCTTCACAATGAGGCCTCTGAGGTTCCAGCTCTAGATCTATGATTTTATGATTCTATGAAACAATCACTGCCCTCCAGAAGCTTATATTCTATTGGGAGGGAGGACACAACCCACATGCATTTAAGCATACACATACAGAGTAAATACAAGCTAAGTCGAGGGGGGAGGCACTGGAAACCGAAAGGATCAGGAAAGTCCGGTATAGACAGCGGCATCTGAGTTGAGCTTTGAAGGAAAGTAAGGATTCTGAGATGTAGAATTGAGAAAGAAATATATTCCAGCCTTGGAGAGGGAAAAAACAACCTATACAAAGGCCAGGAAGGGAAATGGAGTGTCATGTATGAGGAACAAGAAGAAGACCAGACTGGTTTAATCAGAGTGTGTGAAGGGAGTAACATACAATATACTTGGAAAGGAAGATTGGAGCAAGATTATAAAGGGCTTTAAATGCCAGAGGAATTTGTATTTTGGTCTTAGAGGTTATAAGGAGGCACAGGAGCTTTCTGAACAGGGGAGTAACATGGTCAGATCTTTGTTTTAAGAACATCCCTTTGACAGCTGGGTGGAAGAGAGATTACACAGGGGAGGGACTTGAAGGAGCCCAATTTTTCAATAGTCTAAGTGAGTGACAAGGCCCTTGCTCTTTCGGTTGGTAGCTGTGTGAGGGTGGCTTGGAGAGCTGAGAAACTGGAAGGTGAGAATCCAGTGAAGAAGGAGGCTGTTGTAATAGCATAGATGTAATAGCATAGAGAGGCGATGAGGTCCTGAACTAGGATTATGGCCATGTGAGTGAAAGGGACAAATGGAAGAGATACTCTAGAGAAAAAAACTGAAAAGACTTGAGAGACAATTGAACAGTGAGGTGAAGAAGAGAGTGAGTCAAGGACGACTAAAATTGAAATCTTGGGAGACTGGAAAGGTGGTAGTGCCCTTGAGAGAAATAGGGAAGTTTTGGGGAGAGGCAGGTTTAGTGGGGGGGGGGGGAACGAGTTCCATTTTGAATATGTTGAATTTGAGATGCTTACAGGACATCAAGTTAGTAATGAGGGAGTGGAGCTGACTATACATATTCAATTCAA